ACACTTTGACTCTCCATGACTGGGACCCAGGTTTCAATATTTAGTTTCTCTTTAAGTCAGCATCAACATTACAACAACCCCCCCCCCCCCCCCTTCAAAATAAAAGATTTCCTTTGACTCTCCATGCTGGGCCCAGGTTTCAATATTTAGTTTCTCTTTAAGTCAGCATCAACATTAATCATTGCAGGAAATTAACAAAAAATAAAAATGTGAACTTACCCATTCAACCAGGCTTTCATCACCTAAGGGCTGAGACTGGTCAACAGGTTTCCGCCCCGTAATAAGCTCCAAAAGCACAACGCCAAATGAATAAACATCAGATTTCTCTGTTAATTTTCCACTAGATGCATACTCTGGTGCCAAGTATCTGGACTCATTCATGTTAATATCAAGTAATCAGCTCAAGCATCATATACAGCTAAAAATAAGTCATTTCGATTAATATCAGTTTAGCCCATTTCTTTGTGCAGGAAAACAGGGTCAATTGGAAAATCTAGGCGGCCAACAGTTGCATAATGGTTGTGAGATGCTGCATAAAAGCAACTGTTTGACTGAAGACTAAATCCTGCCCTCACACGAGCACAAAGTTACTAATTGGAGGATGAAACCAACTTTAGGCTGTTCTTACAAGTGGGAAATCAATTTATGTCATTATTAAGGTCAATTTACGGACTCCGCTGAGGTTCAAAGAAACGGAAGTGACATAGAGTAATAAAAGTTTTAAAAGTAAAAGCAGGTTTAGGATTACAGTTTGTGGAGATTACTTGTGGTAACTGCCAAAGGTGTTTAAGGATATTGTCAGTTGATACAAGATTGCAACAGCATATGAGGCCAAAATAGATTTCTTTTAAATAAGACTTAGCACATGTATGACCTACCCAAAGGTTCCCATCACACGAGTTGACACATGTGTATTGACATCACCTGCTAACCTTGCAAGCCCAAAATCTGCAACCTGCAAGGAGAAAATGCATTGAAAATGGCATAAAATGCATACACTATGAGGCATAACGCATACGATTTTCTATACTCCATTAAAGCATGGAACACAAGAAATTTGGTTCAGTTGCCTAAATTCAACAAACAATGACAATATCAAGTCACAAACATAAGTTTAGGTTGGATAAATTGGCATACCTGTGCTTCAAAGTTGATATCCAAGAGAATGTTTGATGATTTGATATCCCTATGGATAATGCGGGGATGGCCTGAGAATGACATAATTAGCAAAATTTTAAGGATTAAATCAGTAAAGGAAAATTGCATAAAACAACAATATGCTCTATTACCAAAGAAAGCCCACGGCACATTACAACTAAACAGATTGGTCTATTTTAGTGTTAGTTTTCATCAATAAACAATGCAGTTTGCATTGACTAGTCAAGGTTTTACATTTCTATATCGAAGAATGACGAAATCAGGTTAATTTGATGGAAAACACATGCTAAGCGTGCATTTGGTATTTTGCATCTGAACTTTGCAGAAATCTAAAACTGCTCCTCTAACCACTTTGTCTCCATTATTCCTTTTATTAAGTCTCCTGAAGCCCTAGGCTTTAATGGACAAGAGGAAATACAAATATAAAAGGAAAGAAGGAAATTCTATTGATATGGGGGAAGAAGGAAATTACAGTCTTCATGCAGATAAGCAAGTCCACGTGCTGCACCAGCAGCTACTTTTACTCGGGTAGCCCAATCCATAGTCCCGCCTTTACCTGCAGCATTCAATCAAGTGATAGTAGTTAAGTTGGCATCACATCTGAGAATAGAGAATGTTTATGTTCACTGAAATGCGGCACAACAGAAGGCCAATTGGCCGTAGAATTTTTAGCAGCTAGTCATGTCTTTGGACATTAGTAGCCATATAAAAGAAATAAGCAACCCATCTTGAAATTGTGGACTTGGAGATCTCAATCATAGAGAAGAGAATCTAGAGAACAGTAATCCAAGTAGTTTAATTCATCAGTTCCTTATTTCAAACCGATCTTACCATGAAGATGATAGTCAAGCGTGTCGTTTGGCACAAAGTCATAGACAAGTAACCTTTGTTGCTCTGAGATACAATAACCTACGAGCGAAACCAAATGACGATGGTGTACACGGCTGATAATCTCAACCTCTGCTCTGAACTCACGTTCCCCTTGTCCACTTCCACTTTTCAACTGTTTGACAGCGACTTCCCTTCCGTCACTAAGAACACCTTTGTAAACACACCCAAACCCACCTTCACCCAAAATACTCTCAGAGGAAAAACCATTTGTTGCCTCAGCTAGTTCTTCATAAGTGAACCATGATCTTGAATTTCCAATACCGCCATGCTCTGGAGAGTACATAAAATTGCTTTGCGAGCCGCTTGCAGCTAGATAAGTAGAATGTTGGGACCTTGATCTTAGGAATGATGTATCTGGAAAAATAAGTATTTTGTTATGGCTCCAAAGGCTGGGAAGAGGATGGGTTGTTAAACTTTTAAAATAAACTGTGAACAATACTTGAAAACAAATTTGAACAATTGGCACAGCGAAATCAATTTTCTGACCCATACTTTATACTTCAAAGCTGAACAATAAGTGGAAAGTCAAACAGATTTCCAAGTTACACAAAAGTTCAAAATCCTATTTTTCTTGAGAAAGTTTTACTGCGTGCACCTGCACTCAACCCTGTAGCAAAAGGAAAAGGGATAGAGCAAATTTTCATGCAAAGAAGCAAAAGTATTCTTCCGATAGTAATACAGATGGGCCATCTGTAATTTCGAAAAACAGAGCTTATATGCCATTTTTTTACAAGGAGCTTATATACATTTTAAAGCAAATTCCTTCTATTAGAATGATCATTATTGTTCAACTGCAATAGTTCCTAGTCAATGTCACCACTACAGTAATCCATGCAAGGAAGAGTTCGGTAAGGATGGATGCATTTAGTTACCCTTGGCAAATTAAAATGATTTAGCCAATAAACAAATTCCACTCAACAAAATCCATAAGGAAATTCAAGAACCTATGCAAAGCAATACCTGAATTTGGTGAGGAAGCAGCAAATGGAGAGGGCCCCAAGTAATTGAGATTAAATGCGCTCTCTCTTTTCTTTCGCTTCCGTGTAAACCAGACAGCAAGAATCACCAGGCTAAGGGCCAAAAACCCAGCAACAACACCAATTGCCACTACACCTCTAGTCCTATGTCCCCCACCATTTCTGGGACTTGAATCTGCAGTGCTAGCAGGATTAGGGGTAGTTGATTTAGCCGTGGGCTTCTCTGTAGGAAGGCGAGGCACAGGTAATGGAGGGGGAGCTCCAGCTAGAGATGCATTATTAGGGGGAGCAGGAGGAGAAATAGAAGGGGGTGGAGATGTTAAGGGGACAGGTGGAGGAGCAGATGGCAGTGAAGCTGGAGGGGGTGTTGATGCGGCAGGTGGAGGGGAGTTTTGTGGCGGGTTTACAACAGGTGGTGGTGGTGGTGGTGGTGGTGGAGAATCAGGGGGTGGTGATGGATTTTTCACTGGTGGTGGAGGGGAAGGTGAAACTGCTGGAGGGGGAGAAGGTGGGGAAGGAGGAGGGGCTGGAGGAGGAGATTCTCGTGATGGTGGGGGTGGAGATGAAACTGGAGGTGGGGCACTGGCAGGTGGAGGAGCCTTAGGAGAAGGTGGAGGTGGTGAGGGCGGTGGCGGCGGTGATACTGACGGTGGTGGTGGTGCTTCTGTCGGAGGTGGTGGTGGAGGAGATTCTGCAGGAGGTGGTGATTTTGACTCTGATGGAGGAGGAGGAGAAGGCGGAGCTGGTGGAGAAGAGGATTGAGGAGGTGGAGCTGAAGAGTCTGGAGGTGGAGGAGGAGATGTACTAGAACTAGAATTTGAAGGTGAAGCTGCAGGGAAAACTGGGAGTGGAAAAACAGAAGGGGAAGAATCTGGAGAGGCCATTTTCAATAAAGTTCTCAACTTTAATGCAGTACTCCTCTAAAATCCACATTGGAATTTCCCAAAACCCCTCATTTGCACATAAATAGCCAAATATCCAAGAATGCAAAACCCTTTTTCCCAGATCTTAACTACTGTGTCATATGAAAGCCTCAAATTGAAGTCGCACTACTGGCCAAGAATCAACCTTTCAAGCCAAAACTAGTCCTATAAACCCTATAATTAAACAAAGTTATTAACAGATTTGAAAGAGAAAATGAGAATGCACCAAAACTGAAGTCAGCGGCACCTAGATACAGTAGTAAAGGAAAACTTGACAGACCCAGATCCCTCAAATTGTCATTAGGAAAAAGATTAATACAATGTTAGTAGCTCAAAACTCGACTTACCTCTTAACCCACTGCTTTCTCTTAGACTTCTGGGTCTTGCTCAATTTCAGGCAGGAGCCTGAGAACATGAGAAATGGTAAAGCTGTATGTACTAAACAAATGAAATGTAGGCAAATGGGGAACGTGGGTGCGACTTCGAAATAGTCGTTTCTTGATTTCGTTTAGTAAATCAGAATCTTGAACAAGAAAGACACAACATGGTGAGGCCTAGGGAAAAAGACTTGGTGAATGGTGATGGACTCAGCATTTACGTCAAAAAAATTAATTATTGTGCAGAATAAAGATAAATAAACATTCTTCTATGTGTGAAAGAACGTTACCGAGAAGCTAAGTCAAAGAAAACATCATGAAGCCCATGTTCAAGGATGAGGTTTTTTTCGGTTTTGTGGTCTCTGCACAACAATTGTAAACAGACAATCATTAGTCATTGACCCTACATTACGTTTAGAATATTTTAGTAAACTACTACTAGTTCTAGTTGTCTTCTCCGATCTTATTCTTTTGTCAGTTTATAACTGTCATTTTCTATGGAAAAACAATGTACGTTGCTATTAGCAGTAATTTATGACTCACTAAATTACTCCCTTAATTACCGGCTACGCGTAAACAATGGCGGTGTTGTGCTAGGTTTCCTTTTTTACTGTCTTTCATCTTCTCCTTTTTTACTCTCTTCTTTGTTCTTTTCTTTTTCCTTTTTCGTTTTTGAGTTTAATTTCTATAATATTAATATGGAAATAAAAGTTTAACATTTTCAAAATAAATATAGAGACTTTCCATATATAAATGAGATTATTATCTTAAAATATAAGAGGCTATTTGGTGCAAAATATTATAAAATTTATTTACACTTACTAAGCGTATGTAAGTTAAATCCTTGCTTCTAATATCTCTTCTCTTTTCTCTTTCTTTTTTCATGCTGCTGCGACGTTACAAACCAACGTGGAATTTTGAATATGAAGTATATACTAACTTGTTAGAATACCATAAAGTTTGTTGAACTAACGAGAGAATAATGCTTTTGCTTTAACAAGGGCAAGAGTAGATGCGGTGAATTGTGCACGTTGATGTTGAAAGCAAAGTTGATTTCTGTTTGTCATACTAGACTTTACAATGACTTCTTCCTCCTCCTGAAGATTGAGTTTCTACTTTTGAGCTTGAAAACTAATTTTGGAAAAGTTATTTGCTTACAAAATTTTCAAACAAAATTTCGGGTAAAGAAGTTATATTTGAGACACTTTTTCAATCAAACAATCTTCTTTCACTAACAGTTGGTGTTAGTGCCTTTAATATTAAAATTATAATATAAAAATGCATTATTTCTTGTGAGATAGTGGTTATAAATTGGCAAGAAAGTGGTCATTATTTTGGTGTAACTCTTGAAACCACTAATGTCATGATCTACCATTAATTTCCCACCAAATCTTATATTTTGTAACCACCAACCATGTTCTATAATTTTATTATCCCACTACTTTGTTATTTGTTTTATGGAAGAGAATTTACACCTATAAATAGTGGTGTTTCTTCCTTGTGTAGTATATGGGAAAATATTGTAGTGTGCATGAAAAAAATGAAATTGGTGTAGTGAAAAGGAGAGTTAAGAGAAGGAAAAAAATTTAAGTCTCCAACTTATTATCTACAAAAGAGTATATTATTTTTGTTGAAGGAAGGTGTTCATTTTTGTGGAGCTTTGGACTCAACAACTTGTCCAGAGTTTGTTCGAGTCATACGACGTTGTCGGGTTGTTGTATCCTGGAGGGGACAAGTCAAAAGTATTAATGCTGGACCTGTGAAGACTATCGCAGTGGGCTTGAATCTCTTTAAAGCGAGCGAGATATCCGCGCCTCAGGCTGAAGAATATTTATTTATTTTTCTTCATCTTATTTTCAACTGTAATTTCTTGTAATTTCACCAACAATTTTAAGAGATTCAAAAAAAAATTATGCAGTTGAAAAAATAGCGGATATCAGGGCAGAAGTTCACTCTCGCTGAGAGATGGTAGGGTAAAGTATTTTTCCACTTGCTTAACTCATGTGGAGGAAAGGTATAAACTTTTTACCTTATATTTTTCACGAATATGTGATATGTTTTTTCATGAAAAATAAATTTTTATAATTCTAGAAATAGTGGAGGGAAAAGAAATAAAATAATGTTGCATGGCAATTTTGAGTATTCATGCATGAGTGAAAGTTGATTAAATCAAAAAGTGGGATGGGTGCATCGATCATAAGTCTTGGAATAATTCACATGTTATTATTTGCCTCTATATTGATGATTTATTAATATTTGGTTAACATGAATGTTATTGGAGAAAGTAAAAGCATGCTTAGTAGCCATTTTGACATGAAAGATTTGGGTGAGGCAAATTTCATTCTTGGAATGAAGATTACTAGAACATGTAATGGAATTTTCCTTGACCAGTCACATTATGTTGAGAAAATTTTGAAAAAAATAATTTTATTGATTGCAAGCATTTTGCAACCCCTTTTGATTTAAGTGTTCACTTATTTCCTGTACAAAGTGACAATGATGTGATAAATCAAAAGGAATATGCTAGCTTAATTGGAAGCTTGAGAATATGTGACTGATTACACTTGATTTGAGATTATGAGTACTTAGCAGGTTTACAAGCAAGCCAGGTAATGAACATTGGCATGCCATAACGAGTTATGAGGTATTTTCTTGGAACAAGAATCTATGGCTTATTTTATAAAAAATATCATGTTGTACTTGAAGGCTTTTCTGATGCGATTGGAACATTTTATCTTTGAGAGGTGGTGCTATTTGTTGGAAATTAAAAAAATAAAAAATAATTGCCAACTCTACCATGGAGGCTAAACTAATTGCTTTAGCTTCAGCTAGTGAGGAAACGAATTGGTTGAGAGGTTTATTATTTCAAATTCCTTATTTTGAAAAATTAATTCTTCCTATTTTAATTCATTGTGATAGCACCACTGCTATTGGTAGAGTACAGAACCGTTATTACAACGGTAAATCCAGACCTACAAGGAGAAAATACAATATTGAGTTATGTTTGAAAAGTGGTAAAATTGATGTTGATTATGTGATAATTTTGCAGATCCACTAACCAAGGCCTTGGCAACAGAAAGGGTCTGGAGTACATCAAGGGGGATGAGATTGAAGCCCATAAACTCATAACTCATATATGAGAAAACCCAACCTGGGGACTAGAGATCCTATAACCAGGTTCAATGGGAAGGACGAATCATATGATGGCCTGGTTTGAAATGCACTATTTTTATTATTGTTCCATCCCTATGATATGAGTGCATTTATCCTGTAACGATTTGCGCGGTTGAGTTATTCTTATTAACTCTTAATGAAAATGTGTAGCTCGTATGAGTGGGGTGTTAGAGTTACAGGAGCACCCTTGATAGATGTCACCTATGTGAGTGCGGAAGTAGGCCGCTTCCTATGAGAATTGAGCTTATTCTAAAAAAACACTCATGAAAACTGGGATAGCACAAGGTCGTAAGGTGCTGGCTAATAAAGCTCATGTCAACACCTTGATTATTATGTGTAAGCAGTGATACTTTATTTCCCTAAAGTAGTCATAGTTCAAGTCTAAGACCACTACCGACTCTGAAGTAGAGATCGCTATTAACTAAGTGGAGGTTCAATGCAGAGCACACATTCATTATGCATAATATCCTCCCTTCAACTGGTACACTCTCTTATTTTAATATTAAAATAAGTTGAGGAATGTTGGTGTTAGTGCATTTTAATACTAAAATTATAATATTAAAGTGCATTATTTCTTGTGAGATATTGATTATAAATTGGCAAGAAAATGGTCATTATTTTGGTGTAACTCTTGAAACCACTAATGCCATGATCTACCACTTATTACCTATTAAATCTTATATTTTGTAACCACCAACCATGTTCTAAAATTTTATTATCCCACTACTTTGTTATTTATTTTATGGAAGAGATTTTACACCTATAAATAGTGGTGTTTCTTCCTTGTGTAGTATATGCGAAAATATTGTAGTGTGCATGAAAGAAATGAAATTGTATAGTGAAAAAGAGAGTTAAGAGAAGGAGAAAAATCTAAGTCTCCAACTTATTATCTACAAAAGAGAATATTATTTTGATATGATATGTATAATCTCCATCTATGTCATTATTATTGTATGGGTCCAAATTTGGCAACCACGACAACAGCTAAGTAAGACACGGAACGAAGCTACTATAACACAACGTTTGAGGGTCATTGTAGCGAAGGACGACGACCAAGAGCGGTCAGCCGAAACAAGATGTTAACGATAGTTTAAACTTAGAGGGAGACATGAAGAGTATGCCTTTTGAATATTCTTTATGTTTTACTTTTAGGGTTCCTTGGGAAAATGTCTCCTATAAATAGGAAGAGTTAGTAAAGAAGAGGGGATACGAACTTGAGAAGAAAGAACACTTTGTAAAAGGTTGATCTGAAAGAATATACAAAAGTTGTCTTATTCATTGGTTACATAACTCGAGTATACGTTTTTTGTTCGATATTGACAAGATCCAAAGATTCCTCAACCACCTCTTATCTCCTTTCTTTCCATACTGTTGTCAAGAGAAGAGGTTATTCTGAAAGTTCACAATAATTGGGTAGCAACTTCCTTTGATTATGCTAGTCGCATTTATTTAGATTCATTGCGCATTTATGTTGTTGCATTTTTGAGCATTTAATCAGCTCAAACATATTATCTAACGATATTCATCTTGTCTACTTCATCTATCATTTGGTCTAGATTTTATTATTCTTAACTAAGATTCACTCCTCTTCTCATCACTAATTGGTTTAATCAAAAGGTTTAATACTTTTTGGTCAAACAATTTGGCGCCGTCTGTGGGGAGATTTTTAGTTAAAATTTTAGTTTCTTCTAGATCATAAAAAGGGATAGCCTTCTTTTCCTAGCTCTGCATAAACTAACAATGGCAAGAAAAGGAGATGCGAGGTTGAAAGCGATAGCGGGTGTCACAACCAACATCTTGGACACCATCAACGAAGACGGCATGGAAGATAATGAAACGTGACACCAAACGCTACGCCCAGGAGAGATGCTTCGCCTCCCCCACGCGAAAGTGTAATCGCTTTGCGCGAAAAGGAATCCTCCACGTCTACAACGGGAGAAGCGCCACCGGCGGTAAAAAGACTACTGGAAGAATGGCTAACAAGCACTCTGAACAACATACTTGATAAACCCGCTCAAAGGGAGAATAGAGACACTGCACACGTAGATGTCACGACAACCATTGGCGAACAAGCCCCCGAACAGGTAACACTCATATCACTGTTGACGCAGGTAATGACGCACTCACAACCATTCTAAAGAAAATGGAGGAAATGGAAAATGAAAATAAGGCACGCCGTGACCAGATGAAGGAGCACCAAGAAAGGGTCGATAAGATACCAGGCACCCCGAAGTTGTTACCAAAACGGGA